CTGAAGTGCCCTTTCATGGCCGGACTAGTGTTTGGTCCTCTGCTTCGAATATATTTCCTGGTTCTGCCTTGAATTATGGTTGGCACATCAAGCTTAGGAGAGCTTCGGTTTTACTGCCAGGATTTTTATGGTTGGATATGTTAACAATAGAGCTTTTGAGTATTCTGAATAAGTCTGGACCAAAGCTTAGGCTTCAGAAATGTTTTTACTTCAGGAAGAAACCTGAACCCCTTTTTAGACATTTCCTTCTTTCGCTGTTCTTTGTTGGTTATTGTTTAATGTTTCTTATGATTACAGCCCCAGTTTTCATCTTTAGGTAGGATGCTTTCAGATTTGTTCATCTACATTGCTGAAGTATTCAACCCCTTTCAGATTGTGTCATTTAAAGCCACAAACATGTATGTGTCTTTGGAGGATTGTTTGTGCGTTATTAACACAAAACAGTTTAAATATGGCTTCTTACAAATCAAAAAGATTAGCCTGCATTGGTATTCAGTCCCTTTGACTGAAACCTTGAATTAAAAAAAATGAGGTGCATTATTAGTAAAGTGTGATTTAATTTCAGTATATCATAAACCCAGCAGTTCATAAACACCAACAAACGCAGCAGACAGACCTGGAAGCTGTGGACATCCATGTCATGTTGTAAAACACTAACCCAAGATTTGATTCATATTAGGGCTGTTTGATAAAATAGAAATCATATTGGATCGATATAGATAATTACCAATAAATTTAAAACTTATAACTTAACCCATCCCCTTGAGGAGTGGTAGGCTACCATCGTGCGGCGCCCTGGGAGCTGTATGGGGTTAAGGGTCTTGCTAAGAGACCCGGAGTGGCAGTCTGTGGGAATGGAGCACTAACCCAGAACTTCAGGATTCCAAGTGCCCTAGTGCAGCGGTCGGCAACCCAAACTGCTCAAAGAGCCATGTTGGACCAAAAAAACAAAAAATAAATCTTGTCTGGAGCCGCAAAAATGTAAAAACTTATATATGCCTCTTATGGCAACACGGGCTCTAAGTGTATTATCCCAATATAGAAATGGACTATGTGGGCTTAAATATATAATAAGAATTCAAGATTAAATGTTTATCCTGGAGCAAAAGTCACATAGCAGGATGAGGAGATGGACGAGCACTGAACGCTCCCATCGCACTCCGCTTCATCGTGCGCCACTTCACCGCCCTTCACCGTACGGTTTAGGTTTTGTTGCATTGATGAAATTATAGAAACACAATAAAGGAATCTTTCTGTGGTGGACGTGTTTCTGTTGGGAGGAGTTTATTGAGTCATGAGGAACCAAGAAGGAACTGACATCCATCAGAACAGAGCTCTCTAACCCTGAAATCCGACATCCTCCATCACCATCGTTCCTTGGTGTGATTTATATTTTTAGGATTTGGGGAAAAAATTGAAGAAACTTCCCATACCTGCATCAAGGCGCTACCTGTTGGATCTATGGATTTTCCATCCTTGCAACCAAACTACTATCAGTTGAGGAGTTTGGAGATGCAATTGGAGATGTTATTGAACTATTATTCAGCCCTAATTCATAGCTATCAATAGACAACCCTCAACATAAGACAACTGGCCAGGAAAACTGGGTATTAATTGCTTTTTAAGATTCCAAGCCCTATGCCCTAACCACTTGGCTGCAACTCCCTCAAAAATCTACCCAGAAAAACTTGCAGGTATAATAAACTGCAGTTTATTATACCTTATACCTAGGAAGGCTGAATATAAATGTTTACAATAATTCTCAAGTTTTTTATATGACTAAAATAAATATTCCAAAGCCCCGTGTCCATTTTTCTTTGATTTTACAATTAAGCAATGCTCTGTGTTTGTGCAATGCACAAAATTCCAATAAAATATACTTAAATTTGTGATTGAAAAATAAAAACATTGAAGTGTGCCGGTGGTTGCGCAGGTGACTGTAGTTTAAAAGCCTTGAATCATTTCTTTACAGTTCAAGCGCTCAGTGAGTCATATGTTTGGCCTTGCTAAAGAAAACACTGGCTATTTACTCCAATCAACTGCTGGTTCAAAACATCAACATGAGGAAGTAGGCTTTATGAAGAGATGTTTGCCATGTCTCAGATCAGCCCTCAGCCTCTCGTCCTTCTGGACCTCTACTCTATATGGACTTTATTCACAATTCCACTACTTAGGAGAGCTATTTTGTTTCCTGTCTTTTTCTACTGGAAGAACTGATTAATCCAGGTGTGCCTGACCTCACTACCCATGGCCAGACACACCTTGATTAATCAGTTCATTAAGTGATGAAAGACGGGAAACAAAAGAGCTGCCATAAGTTCAGGAAGTAGTCGAGTTGTGCATAGAGCCCACTCACTTGTTGCTGAGATGCCTCTTGGGGAGTTGAGAAGATGGTAGGGGCTTTAAAATAATTGAGCAGAACAGATCTTGAACATTGTCTGGCTGGTTCTTCTTATCTATCTATAAGCAGTCAGCAGGCATTTTAGCTGTTTTTTTCACAGCCAATACAGAATAAAAGACAAAAAGGAATTTTCAGTTCCTGCACCAGTTTCTTAACTTGAGTTGGACACAAAGTCAGTGTAACTAACCTTTTTTGTTAGTTTCCAACATCTAAGAACTGTAAATGTGATGGTAACTCTCCACACAGTTTGTAATCACAGTATAAAATGCTGCGTGATCCCCTTGCTCCATTTCCAAGGAGCTTTTAGTCTAAGATAATACACACAGTCATTTCAAGTTCAAAGTTAAGCCCGAAAGATGAATGGCCCTGTTCGGTTGGAGGTCTAATTTTTTTCATATGCAGATCAGCGGTGGTTAAGGAAATCATTTTATTTGTAAAAAGCTGCCAAATCCAGAGGGAACATGTGTTGGGCAGAAGTTTTACAGATGGGGGCATTCAGTAGGATAGAAATCACCAGTGAAGGTGCCCAGAAATAGATGCTTTGCTGATGGATTAAAGGAAATGTGCACCTGCTGTTTAGGAAGTGCATCAGAAATTATACCTTCTTTTATGTTTGTTAAACATTCCACATCAGGGGCATCTGTCCAACAGCCAGCATTTCAAGGCACTATGCCCTCAATCCTATATAAAGTTGGATGAGCCTAGATGATCATATTCAGAGGCTTGCTAGCACAATAGGTAGATGTCACAGTGCCCTAAAAAATGAAAACCACTGGGTAACTTAAGGTGACCACTGCAATGCCTCCAGTTCTTTAGGACAAATGTGAAGTTAGAACTCTGCCAAAAGTGCATATACATGATAGATACTCATAAGAGCAGGTTTATTTAAAGCACATGTGCATGAACTAGTCTCCAGGTGCATTTTTGAATGTTTTATGCGTGCAGATTCAGCACCATAAGGCCCCACTATATCACAAGGAGGAGTGCATGCTCCTCTCTGCGCTCGTGGCTTGCTTTTAATGCATTAGTTTTGCTGTTGTTTTTTCCTAGTTACAACTAGTAACATTAGCAAAGCATCTTCAGGTATTAAAGGGGTCATAGAATGATTCTATAGGGTATTTGGTGCTGGTCCTTAAGGTCTCTGAATAGGGTGTGTAACATTGGCTGGGCTGAAAATGGCACATTTGCTCTTCTATGAGCCCTAATGCAAACCTGGTTGTAAGCCCTAGAATGAAACAGGTTTTCTTCCTTTTATGGTATGCTCATTAATATTTAGATGAACTGTGCGCTGTTTGGTTGTTTTACAACGAGCGAAGCTGCTGAGCAAAGATGCATCATAGCAACAAGCACTCACTTACTGAAACATCAAATTGTTGATATGGTAGGGTGACCAGACATGTCCTCCTTTTCCATGACACTTCCTACTTTTGATACCTAAATAAATGTCCAGGGGGAATTTCAAAATCGTCCGGAAATTTTCTCAACTACAGTGCAGCAGAATCGAGCAGTGAGGCTGGTCCTGGATGACTGAGAACCTACATCACCATGTTAGTGATATGTTGGGGAGGCTGACAGTATTAGCTCTACAGACATAAAACATAAAAACATTTCTGTGGAGAGTAGTTTACGTGTCTGTGCTTTCAAAAAAGGTGCTAGCATCAGTATTCACACTGCAAAAATTTTAATCTCTGTAAGTAATTTTTTCTAAAATTAATTGCATTTTTTTCTTGATTTGAGTGAGCAGGTAAGTCAGGCACTATGCCAGTGAAATAAGACGATTTACATTTAAAATAAGAAAAAAACTGCAATCTCTTATTTTAAGTGTTTAATATCTTATTATCTTATTTTAAGGCTAAAAATAATTATTCAGTTCACAAATCATCGTATTTACCTACTCAAATTAAGGGTAAATACACTTATTTTAAGAATTTTTTTTACTAGTTTTAAGATCATTTTTGCAGTGCACTACATGTGTGCACTTTGGGCCAAATTCTGAATTCATAGACAGACAAAATAAGTACAAGATGCTTAATCTGTTCTCTGAGCACCAAAATAAACATTATTTCTTGACTTGAAACAAATTATTGAAACAAGAACTGCAGGAAGACATACAAGGATTACCGATGGCATTTAGTGTTCAGAGATACGGGTACGACTCCTCTCACAGGATGTGGTGGGACCCTGGTCAAACACCATGATTCTACTTGTCCTGTCCTCTGTCCCCCACCTGTGTAATATTAGTAGTTTCCAAGTCTCTTTGTCTTCCCCATACCAGCATTCACTCGAACAGCGTATGCAATCTAGGTCCGCATATAACATCTGTGGGTGTTAATGCCTAATAAAATACAATAACTGCATTACTGCTGTAGGTCAAATCTCTGCTGGTATATAACTGAGAACGTGGCAAACTTTTGGGACAGGACACCAGCTAACAGCTTTATTCGTTTGTTCTAATATTACAATGATTGGATATAGTCACATGACCATCCATTATGTGGAACCATTCATTCTAGTACAGGCGTAGTTGAGAATTTCCTGTAAAATGCATATCTAATACATACTTTCACTAATGTCTGTTGCATTTGCTTCCTCCTCTCAGGCCGTGTGACCCCCGAGCAGCTGTGTTCCTACGTTAAGTTGTTCAGGACGAATTGGGAGGCATTAGAGAGTCACTGTGGGGTACTTCAGCTGGGCTTGGCCACAGCCCAGATGCTCCGACACCCGAGCTTGGCCCGCTGGGATTCCTGTCTGGGTTTCGAAAGGCTGCTGCTCCAGGTGTGTGCTTATCTTATACAACCTTACTATCCATATGTTACGCACAATAAAGGCTTGGGAGTCCGCCAGTCATAAATAGAATACCTCCTATGACAGATTTATTTTCAGTTTTACAGTCCCGCTAAGTATACATTGATTCCTCATGACCAGAATATCAGATTGATTTGGGCTTTTACGATTCTTTTGAACTGTTCTTATACCAGAGCAGTTAAAACTACAAAGATTATTTTAGAAATAAACATAAGGTGCTGAAAAACTTCAAACAGAATCTAAGATGTACATACAACTTCAAAAATAAATAATTTCTTATAGTGTTTTGCAAATTCTGGACACATATCTGGCTATATTTTTAACCATTTTCCTTATCATAAATTACTAGATTCAACAAATCTAGTAATTTACTACATCAACAAATTGGCTTCCACCATGCTTTACAAGTTGTACTATCCTCTAAGGTTTTAAAGCTTCAGCTCAACATCTATAAACAATGTTAATTTTGGCCAAAAATCCTATTCTTTGTCTTTTTATGAACACAAACATTTTCTAGTCCATATGGTTAGGTGCAGCTTTGAGCCATGTGTGTCTATCCAGGACTTATTTCTTGCTCTCTATGCCTTTTCAGTCCTCTCGATAAAAAATTTGGCTTTATAATAAACCAAAACAATGATGTTTCAGGAGTTTTAAAGTGAGGCCAGCCTTTTGGTTTTCTGGTTTTTGGTGTAATGTCTTTGCCATCCTGATTATGCTCATTTTGCCAAAGTTTATATTTAAATCAAACACAACTAATAAAAATTCCATTTAAGCATCAAACCAGCTTTAAAATTGGTGTTATGTTTGAGTCAGTGACAAAAAAAAAGTATATATACTTTGACATTCCTAATAGCAAAAGTACCCATGCTGAGACATTTTTCCCCACAATAAAACTGCAGCTTATATTGAGCTTATATGTAGCTATTTTACACAATGTTGATTAGAAAACATCCACAATAAAGTAAAAACTGTAATGCCCATTCTTATTTTGCATGGTCTTTATATCAGATAAAGACAAACTATATTTAATTTTAAATTATGTTATAAATCTCACTCATATTGATCATAATGTGAAACGTTGAGTGTATTAATGTAAAAACACGTAAACAGGTAAGTGGCGGCTTTTCAACATGGTGACCAGAAATGTTGAATTAACATCCAGGGCTCTCTATCCTGCATAAACAAGGTCCGTTTTGTTTGCGTGGAAAACATTCAGATCCTATAAACACAGCAGAAATGACAGATTTCTCCCTCTCAACCTGAAATCTGTGAAGTCCAGAAAAGGAAAAGCAGAAGCCCATTTTCACAAGGAAGGACGTACACGTGCGTTCGTCTCCTGAAAGGTCAGAGATCAAGATAGTTGAGGGGAGGTGGAGTAATAGGAATAAATCAAAAGTCAAAGTGCACACAGTAACCACTAGTTCCTTACCTCTTGTTTTATTTTCCCAGCAGCGACCTGGACATATTTTAACTCTCCTACAGAAACCAACAGTCAGAGTGGCACAAGACTAATAGTGAACTAATGCCACAGCCATTTCCTCACTCATCTACTTCATACTTTTTCATTGAGCCTTTGTGCATTCCTGAATTCATAAGCAGAGCATTGGGTCTTCACTGTATTCAGAAACTTATTAAACTATATCAGGGAAAAATTAAACAGACTCTTGACCATGGCCAAGATGGAATTTGAAAACAACATCTTAGCCTCCCTGCTCAGCTAAATCCACTCATTTATTAAATGAAGGAAAGTGACTCGGGGGCTTTTACTTCCAGAATTTATTTTCTTAAGTCTTACTTTGATCCGCTCCCCCATGGTTGTCTAGCATACCTGGATAACTCAGAACAACTGTCCAACCGCACATTTTTAGCTCTGCTTTCATTATTTGTGAGAACAGGCATGAATTTCATGTGAAGGTAGGACTGAATCCTGTCAGGTTTAAAATAGTTGCATTGAACATGTATATAGTAGTAGATTTAAATCACTTGTATTGAATTCCAGAAACATATTCACAAAAAAAACTGATCTCAGAATGAGGCTACAAGAGCAATATGAGGGTTTTTGCTTGCATTCAAAACAGCTTGAGTATTATTAATGTATTAAGGGAAATGAGTTGTGTGTCCCCTCTGCCCTTTCTGTTTATTTCATTTCCATGTGTTTTTTTTTGGCTTTGGTTCACCATGAAGAGAGAGAGAGAGAGAGAAAGACAGACATTAATTACAGTAGAAACTGGCTAGATGAAAAGCCTCCCAGACATGGCTGGCGGTCGAGCTGTGTTTGCTCTGCCTGAGTGTGTGTGAGGGCTGCTGTGGGGACGACCGACCAGACCTGGACTCTCCGTCGCTTCTTGGACAGTTTAAGTCCCTCCGCGCCAACTCCTGTGGGGAACCTCCAGGCCTTGAAGTAGGCTGTTGTTACACAGAGGTGTGGGGCTGCTGAGTTCAGAGTCTTTAATGATCTCATTTTATCCCCTTTTGTTTATTTTTAATGAAAGCACAGAATAAACAAAGAGGTATTTCATGTCAAAGCGAATGATCTGCAAGTGCAGCTTGGTGAGCGTCAGCATGGTCTCTCTGCTTTGGCATTATGTTTCTAATGTAAGAAAGGAATTGGTTGTTGAGTTTCCCACTTATAGTTTGACTTCTTAGACCACTTGCCTAGAGATAGACCAATACATCAGCAAAACCACTAAAATTTTGGGCTGATGTTAGTGGTTATGCATCGGCCAACAGGTTTGTAGATTCATTACTACATTCAGCAGCTGTGCCTTTAGATCATGTGAAGTGTATGCGTTGTCCCACCCTCATTTAGCTCTCCCTTGTTTATGTTTGGTCTGATTTTATAATCTCATTTTGTTTAAATTGTGATTTTTCTCACATTTATTATTATTGTCTTCTATGTATCATGTTAATAGAGAAAGAAAAAGTAATATCATCTTCAAATATCAGCCCAAAAAATTAACAGCACAATAGGGGTGTAAATCACATCCATCATGGCAATTCAATTCAGTATCAATTTCCTGACCCAACGATTCGATTATTTTCGATACTCAAGAATACACCACGATATGATTCGATTCAATTGGATTAATCGGTTCATTTTTTTTTTTTTTTTTTTTTACACCTTACAGGCTAAACAAAGTTTCAAGTTTGAAATACATCAATGAAAGCTGTAATATTGTTATGCTTTTTTTTTTTTTTTTTTTTTTAGAAACAACAGCAAATAACAGAAGTAGAAAAGTTGCATCAAAAAATACTGCAAAAATACTGCACATAATCAGTGCAATAAGTGCAATGCAATTCCTCGGCTCCAGACGTCCCCGCCTCTCCCAAATTGTAGCTGACCGCAAACAGTGCCGCAGACAGGAGGCCGGCTTGTTTTGTTTTTATGACCGAAATTGCGGAAAACAACTCGTGAAGTTTGACCCACTAGAAGAGTGAGGTGCGCGAGAACGCTGGGACCCTTTTTCCACATGGATTTCCGGCTTTTTTGGCCCTCATGTCCCTCCGTCGTCGGACTAAACTCGCCCCCACTTCCTCGCCGCCTTGGCCGTATCTAGACCCACAGCGTGTAGCACAGACCACGCTTCAGTATTGAGCATAAATCAAAAATATCTGTGTCAAGCTCACTGCAACACACTGCTGTAAGAGTGCGGTAGGAGGGCAAAATAGGTTTAGCCCCACCGCAGCACGGGAGGGAGAATTACGTCTAGGAGCAAATGGATAAAAATAGACCGGAGGAAAAAAAAAAAAACATGAATCGTTTCTCTTGTGGACGTGTTGATGCATCCAATCGTCGGCTGTTGGATCGATGCATCGATACAAAACGATTATTATTTACACCCCTACAGCACAAATCAGTAAGACTGATGTCAGAACTGACAACAGTTTGCTTTAGAAGCTTTGAAGAACCTCCCAATCCTTTGTGTAGCTCCAGGTTGTGCTTATTGGTAAATAAAGAAAACCGTGATGCAAATCTAGGCAGCCTAAGATAAATTGAACAGACTAATTACTGGCTGTTAAAGTTTGCATCTATTTTTAAGCTTCCTGTTAAAGGGCTCCTACATTTCAGAGTGAATTTCATCATATCCAGTTTAATATCTAAAGGCCCTTTAGATTACAGTTCAAGTAGGACAGAACAAACTTTGTGGCTAAACTAATGGATCCTGCCCAAACAGATTCAACTCCATAAATTCAAGCCAGTTGTTTTGTGGAGCATGTTTGGATATCAGTGCTTATCAATGTATTTCCCAGAAGAGCATTAGGTGACTCTACTCCATCCAGACTGGAGAATTTGCTGTTCCTGTTTTTGCTTTACATCACATCAGTATTCCACAATCACATATTAACACTTACAGTTCAAAATGCTATCGTTTGTTTTTCACTCCCTAGGTCATTGCTGTCCAGAGTCATTCCACCTTAAGAACACCAGATTTCCTTTAATGGCTGATTAAAAGGCTTTTTTAAGCCCCCATAGAGCTTAACAATGATCTAAGATTGGCTTAGCATAATTACACTGATCAAAATGTATGGAACAATTATAAACTGAGTAGAGATTATTTTAAAATGTAGCTTGAGAGTTATAAGAACTTTTGTTATACAAAGGTACAGAAGAATAAACATTTAATTATTTCGAATAAAATAACAACAATGACCAGAATAATAAAAGCATTTGGAGTTCAAAACAACTTATACAGAATTTAAGGCAAATGAATTAAACATTATTAAAGGAATATGTAGGCTCCATGCATCCAATGCAGCTTATATATTATAATTTTTTAACCAATGTCCATCCTTATCGTCTTTTGCAAATGCAATATTGCAAACATTGATTAGTGACTGGAATTTGATATCTTATCAAGCTCTAGTCTGCTGCTAGACTTTTCCCTTGAATTTAGTTTGGGCTCTCACCTTGCCTCATACCAGTCTATCATTTCATGTTTAACATAAAACACCATGCATTTGTTGTTTTC